TATCCATAACTGCCAAAACTTGGAAGCAACCAAGATGTTCTTTAATAGGTGAATGGATAAATAAGCTGTGGTACATCCAGATAATTGAAAATTATCCAGCGCTCTTCAGAAAATGAGCTGTCAAGCCATGAAAAGACACAGAGGAACCGTAGATCCACGTTGCCAGGTGAGAGGAACCAATATGAAAAGACTACATACTGTATGATTATACCTATGTGACATTCTGGAAAAGACACAACTTTGGAGACAGTTGAAAGACCAGAGGTTGCAGGAGTGGAGGTGGTAGGATGAATAGGCAGAGTCTAGAGGATTTTTAGGGCAGTGAAGCTACTGTGTATGATACTATAATGGTGGATACATGTCATTATACATTTGTCCAAACCCATACAATGTACAGTACCAAAAGTGCACCCTAATACACACTATGGACTTCGATAATGTGTTAATGTAGATTCATCAATTATAACAAATGGACCACTCTGTTGGGAGATATTGATAGTGGGGGAGGCTATGTGTGTTTGTGGGAGCAGGAGTATTTGGGAAATGTGTACCTTCCTCTCAATTTTGCTGTGAACTTAAAACTGCTCTGAAAAATACTCTATTAACTAAAAAAGACCCAGTTAATCCAAAAGATGTCAGGAAAGGTGGAACAGAGAAGCCAAAAATAGTGGGGACAAACTAGACAAATAGTAAAATGGCAGACTTAAGTCCAGTCGTATAAACAACTACATTAAATGTAAATGGTCTCTATCTGCACTAAGATGGCAGCCACAGGCCACGTGAGGTACTTGTTAATTGACATGACATAAAATTTAAGTCAGTCTCTTCATTGCACTAGCCACATTTTAAGTGCTCAGCAGTGACTCCCGTATTTCACTAGTATATTGAACAGCACAGATATAAAATATTTCCATTATCACATAAATTCTATTGACCAGCATTGGTCTGGTCAATCATGGAGATTATCAGAACTGACACAAATCCCCCCAAAAAGACCCAACTGCATGCTGTTCACAGCAAGTCCACTTAAAATATGTAAACTATGCAGATAAGTTAAAAGTAAATGGATGGGAAAAGATACCATGCAAATGTCAAGCAAAAGAATGTGGTGACTGGATTAATATCAGATAAAGTAAACTTCAAGGCAAAGGGTATTACCAGAGATAAAGAGGGACATTTCATACTAATAAAAGGGTCACTACACCAGGAAGATAAAATAATTATCAATACATATGTTTAATAACAGCTTAAAAGTACATGAAACAAGTGACATAAAGGTAGAAATAGACGATTACATAGTTAGAGCTGGTGATTTTAAATATTCCTCTCACCAATCAATAGAATACATAGAGCAAATGTCAGTAAAGATAGATCGTATAAACACCATCAATTACTTTTAACTGACATTTATAGAACACTATAGCCAACAACTGCAGAATACACATTCTTTTCAAGTGCACATAGTACATTCACTAAAATAGACCATCTGGCTGGACCATGAAATAAGTCTCAACAAATTTAGGAAGATTGAAAACATACTGAATATGGTTCTCTGAACACACTGGAAATAAGTTAGAAATAAATAATGTGTCTTTTTTAAACTCCAGATATTTGGAAATTAAGCAACACACTTTTAAATAATTCATGTGCCCAAAAAAAAAAAAATCAGAAAATAATTTGAATAAAATATGAAAATACAACATACCACAATTTTTAGGATGCAGCTAGCACCAGGCAAACAGGGAAAGGTAAAGTTTAAAAATACTAATGAGACAGCCAGGTGGGAGGGGGTCGCTGGAGAAGCTCCAACCAGCCTACCCACTGAGGTGGAGCTGGAGTCTGGGGAAGTTCACCACCCTTGCAGCAGGGAGGAGCCCGGCCCCTCCTCTTCCTGTGTGGAACCTGGGATTCAAGCTGCCCGCGGGAAGCGCTGTAGCAGGGACTCTGGTCTAGAGAGAGTGCCTGCTTCTCCCTTTTCTTCCTTTTCACCCAATAAAGCCCTGCTTTACCCTTCAAACCCTCCGCCAACCTAAATTTTCATGGTCGCAGGACGGACAAGGACCCCATCTTTAGCTGAACTAAGGAAAAGTCCTGCAACACTAACATTAGCAAAGAAGAAAGGTCTAAAATTGGTGATCTAAACCTCCATCATAAGAAGCTAGAAAAAGAAGAGTAAATTCAGAAGTGGAAGAATAAAAAGAATACAGTGGAAACCTCAAGTACAACTTATCCCAGATATGCAAAATTGGCTCAACTAACATTAGAAAGGCAATCAATGAAATACAACATATTAACAGAATAAAGGAGAAAACTATATGATCATCACCATAGATGCAGATAAGGCATTTTAAAAATTCAGTACTCATTCATGCTTCATTAAAACAAAAAACTCAGAAAACTAGAAACAACAATAAAAGGAAACTTCCTTAATCTGATAGTTCCTATGAAAACCCCACAGCTCACATTATATAAATGATGATAAAAGGAAAGTTTTCTCCTAAGATCATAAGACAAGGATATCTGCTTCCACTTCTATTGAATAATGTACTGAGGCTCTAGCCATTGCAGACAAGAGGGGGAAAAGATGATAAAGATCAGGAAGAAAAAAGCAAAACTTGTAGATGACATGATTATTTACAAAAAAAAAACTCCTAAAGGAATCAACAGAACATGTACAACTGATGAAATGTAGCAAGGCTGAAGAATTCAAGTACTTTTGCAACAATCGTGTGTTTTATGGACTACAGCAAACAACTGAAAAGTAAAATTTTGAAATTCCATTTACAATAACATTAAAAGAACATAAAATACTTTAGAATGAATTTACAAGAGATGTGCAAACTCTCCATATGAAAACTTGGTTAAGAAACCCTAAATAAATAGAGGAATATACCTCTTTCATGAATTGTCAAGACGTTCTTTCCAAAATCCAGCACAATCCCAGAAATCAAGATCCCACAGCTTTTTTGATGAAATTAAGCTGATTCTATGATTTTTTAGTGGAAGTGTAAAAGTTTTATAACATCCAAAGAATCTTGAAAAAGAAGAGCAAAGTTAGAGGACTCAATTATAGTCCCACTAAAGACCTACCATAGAGCTATAAGTAATGTAAATCCTGTGGTATTAGCATAAGGGTGGGCAAATAATGAACAAACTAAATTCCTGAAACTCAGGCATATTTATCTTTTCAACAAATAGCATTGGAATGACTGGAAATCCACCTGGACAAAATGACCTTTGACTCTTCCCTCATACCACAGGGAAACAAATGGATCATAGACCCAAATATAAAAGTGTAGGGAGACAGGAAACCTATGCAACCTTGAAGGAGGTAATGATTTCTCAAAGGGCACCAAACATACAGAAAACATATTTAAGAAAATAAATGAGAAAATAAATAGGCAAATCAGAGGTAGAAATATTTGCAAGATATGTAGCTGAGAAAGGACTGGTATCCTGCATATATAAAGGATCTCTATAACTCAGTAACAGAGAAACTAATTTTATAAGTGGGCAAAATATTTCAACAGAAAATTCACAAGAGAAGGTACACAAGTGGCCAGCAAGCACATTAGGGAAATGCAAATTAAAACCACAGTGAGATATCGCTACATCCACCAGTATTTTTAGACATCAGGGAAATGTAAATTAAAACCACAGCAAGATATTGCTACATCCACCAGTAGTTTTAAAATTAAAATGACTGATACTGCCAAATGTTGACAAAGATACGGAGCATCCAGAACTATTGTACACTGTCAGTACAGCTGCTTTGGGAAAATGTCGGGCAGTTTCTCATAAAACGAAATACATACATACCCTCTGACCCAGCAATTCCACTCCTAGGTTTTTACGTAAGAAATATGAAAACATATGTCTACATAGGTGTACAAGAATGTTCCTAACAGTTTTATTTATGATGACCAAAATTTTATAACAGTTCTCCTTTCTATCAATAGAAGGAGAAAGAATAAAACTATAGTATATCCAAACAATGAAAAACTAGCAATAAAGAGGAAGGAATTACTAAGATATATAACATGGGTAAATCTCAAAAACATGTTTGCCACAAGAGAGTACATACCGGCATGATTCCACTTATATGGAGATTCAGAACAAAAAAACCCTGAGTTCTATAAAAGCGAAAGTAATCGATGGCAGAAAAATTCTGAACAGTGGTTTCCTCTGGAGGAATGTGGATGGGGAGTTACAGGGAAGGGACTTCGGGGAACTGTGACCTGTTGGTGGCGTTTGGTTGGTAGGTTGGATAGGTAATTTGCAGAGGTGTACGTATTTGTCAGAACGCACCTAATGATACACTTAAGATTTATGCATTTCACTGTATGTAAATTTTATCCGAAAAGGAAAAAAATTCTGTAAGTAAATATTGAACCCTACGTCGTGACATGCAGGCAGAAGTACTGGGGATGAGGGAGGAAGTGTACCAAGCTCTGCAGCTTACTCTGAAATGCATCCAAACCAGAGGGGTTGGTGGATGGACAGAGGGAGGGATAGGTATCTAATAAATCAAGTATAGTAACATGTTAATTGTAGAATCTAGGTGGTGGGTATACGGGTGTTCACTGTAAAGTTCTTTCAACTTTTAGAATGTTTGAAATTTTTCATAATAAAATGAATGTTAAAGGTAATTGCGGTACTCACCCTGGGTGTATACACAGGCACCTATTCTCGCGATGCCCCTAAAGCTCTTGCCCCTCAGAAGGCTAGATGAAAGAGGGGCATTGGGGAGTGAGTAACAGAGCTGAGAGGACCGCTAACAGCACCAGGGTTGCTGATGAAAATGCACTCGCCAGAGCTGTGTTTCATTATTCGAAATCACACGGTTTTACTCAACAGGGCTCCTAGCCCTTCTGTCTCTGCTCCTGGTGCGTAAGGGTGGTGTGTGGGGCTCTGAGCCTGGGACCGCTCTCTCGGAAGGTGGGAAGATGCCCACGTATCCATTCCTCTCCGCGTGCAGATTCGCTCCCACACGCCCGGGTGGGTGATTCCGGAGGGCCACGCTGGGCTGTCTGCGCGGGCGGGGGCGGGATGTGTCTGGAGGAGGCAGAGCGCCCTCTCCCGGTCCCGGAGGGCCCACGCGGCCCGGCTGAGCGTCCCACCAGCCGGTTCTGCATTCACTCCCCAGATCTGCGCGCCCTGGTGGGAGCACTGCAGCCCCTGGTCGGCCCTCCGAACGCCAGGCGTCTACCGGCGGAGACCAGCGCAGGAGGCGGGCCCGCGCGCAAGGAGGCGGGCGACAGGGTGGAGTCGCCGCAGCTGGCAGCCGCACGGCTCCACCTGTTGCCGCGTCGGAGCGTGCCCGCCTGAGAAGGCAGAGCGCGGTGCGGACCTGTGCTCCCCGCGCCGGCCGGCAGGGCAGGGCCGCGGCTGCCAGGAGGCCCGGGAACAGTCCCGACGGAGCGGCGCCGAGAGGGCGCTCCCCGGAAGGTGAGATCTGAGAGCGGCAGCGGCGCCAGCGCCCCCTACAAGGCGGGGTTTCGGGGAGGGGGCCCTGGCGGTTTGCTGGAGAGCATTGCTGATGGTGTGCGTGAGGTGGGGGATGCCTTCTGCGCGGACCCCGCGTCCAGGCAAAACTCTGGAACGCACTAAGCAGCCAAGCCCGGGTGGAAGAGATGGAACTCTCCAAGGTCAAGGTCTCCTGGCCGCGGGGCCCTTACAGCCCCCAGTCTTTTGGCCTCCTCTCTGGAAGCGGGGCTGGCTCGCAGTGCGGGCTTGGTCCGGGCGGAGCCCACTAGTAGGCGCAGAGGACGCCCCCGCGCAGGATCCAGAGACCAAGGGTGCTCTGGCATGGGCAAGGCGAGGCCGGCTGCCCGGGGGAGATGCCCCTAACTTCCTTCGCTCCCTGTTCCAACCTCCCTTTCTGGTCTCCTCTCTCCAGCCTGTCCGCGCAACGGATGCGCAGCGTTGGGGCCCGGCGGGAGGTCGGAGCCCGCGGACGCCGCTCAGTACAGTCCCTCTCTCCTTGCGTCCACCCTGGACCCGCTCCATCCCTAAGCCCCAGTAGCCGATTCGGTGACTCGGGAGGCCACAGGCTCAGCGCGACACCACGACCACAACTAGGACGCACCACCGTCGGTCTACCTGGGGAGGCACCTACAAAGCCAGCAGACTGACGCCCGCGTCTTAGCCGTCTGTGGCCTGCGAAGCGATAGTCAAAGGAACCAGGACCCCGTGGCTCTGCTTACCCGCCGACCTCCGGACCCCCTCGACCTTCTCTTCGGGGGAAACTCGACTTCGCTCGAGCTTGCCCTGAAGACGCGCCACGCCCCCTCCCCTACCTAAGCCAGACAGGGAGCAGGGATGGAAACGGCGTCCGCAACCCAGCGCCAAGCAGACGTGGACTCTGCGCCGGCTCCCCGGGACCTTCGGCGTTAAGGAGAACTCCGAGGAGAGCGGGGGGAGTGGAGGGGAACGGCGGCGACAAAGCGGATTTGAAACTAGGCGTCAAGGAGGACGTGGGGAGCTGGCGCCGCAGGAGCTACCAAGGCGGCGGCCGGGGGAGCCTCGCGGCCTGCGGGAGCTCCCGGCGGTCATGGGCGAGTCGGCGGTGGGGCGCCCGGGAGCCGGCTGAGCGCCGGGGCCGTTATTTCCCAGGGGAGTGGGCGAGACTCCGCTGGCGCCGGGTGCCCTGGGCCTGGGGGCCGCCCCTGAGGGCCCGGCCATGGCCGGTCGAGGTTTCAGCTGGGGCCCGGGCCACCTGAACGAGGACAACGCGCGCTTTCTGCTGCTGGCCGCGCTCATCGTGTTCTACCTGCTGGGCGGCGCCGCCGTCTTCTCCGCGCTGGAGCTGGCGCACGAGCGCCAGGCCAAGCAGCGCTGGGAGGAGCGCCTGGCCAACTTCAGCCGCGGCCACAACCTGAGCCGCGACGAGCTGCGCGGCTTCCTCCGCCACTACGAGGAGGCCACTCGGGCCGGCATCCGCGTGGACAACGTCCGCCCGCGTTGGGACTTCACCGGCGCCTTCTACTTCGTGGGCACCGTCGTGTCCACCATAGGTAAGTGTGCTGGCCGGACTCGCTGACAACCTCCGGGCGGCCTCCACTTCCTCTCGGGGGGAGGGGACAGGACCGACTCTCTCAGCCTTTCATTCATCCATCTGGGCACCAAGCCCGACTGCACTGACATGAGCTGTAGCCTGATCAACAGGTGGTATTGCCTCCCCGCTGCTCTAATGTGGTCCAGGCACCGGCAGCTTCAGCGTCACCTGGCAGCTTGTTAGAAATGCGGTCTCAGTCCCCTCTGCAGACCTGCTGAGTCAGAATCTGCCTGTTAACAAAGTCCCCAAAGGATTGGAATGATCCTTAAGTTGGAGACGCTCTGCTCTGGGAGATTTTCAGTCTCATGAAGGAGACAGGGCTTGAGTTCATGGGGAGGAAAGCTTTTACAGATAGGGACAGGAAATTGAACATTTACTGAGTCAGTTAGAGGGGAAGTGCAGGTTTTAAAACATTCTGCCCTCGACTTCACACCGAGAAAAAATCAGAACACCAGACTGGAAGTGAGGAAGCCAAAGTGCCAATGACGGTTCAAAGGATGGAAAATTTCCCACCAGGAAGAACCAGGGAAGTGACCTTTGGCCTGAATCAGTTCGTGTTAGGCATAACTTGGGTCTGGGAACTGAAAGCGCGTTGCACCCTGGAGTAGGAGAGAGTCGCACTCAGGGGTCCCATGAGCTGGTTGGAGCGGTGGAAGGAAGACTAGGAAGGTCTGCTGACGAATGGGATGGAGGTGGGGGTAGGACCTTCACTGACAGACTGAGGAGCTGGAACTTATCTAGAGGCACCTGGGAGCCATTGAGAAGGTTTTAGCAAAGATGTAGCACAGCTACAATCAGTTGTGTTTATTTCCCAGCAGAAGGAAAATGATTTGGGGGAGTCTTTGCACCACACCCCTAAAGATTGTTCATCCTTGAGGAATAATCAAGTGATTCATGGGGGTTGGGGAAGATGCTGTAGAAATAAATTCTGAGGGGGGCAAAAAGAGACCTGGAGCAGGGGAGGGAGCTTGGAAAAGTTAGATGGAGAGGAAGTGGCCTCCAAGCTGCAAAAAAGGCTGGCAGCTGCAAACAGCCCAGGGTGCATGTGCTGAGCGCTCTGTAGCTACTGCCCCTGTGTGCTCTAGAAGAGCTTGCTGGTGAGGTGGGGAGATAAGTTGAACCTCCTTGAGGCTCCCACACATGGCTGTGCTACATAGACATTCTGTCAGGAGAAGCAGCGAAGCAGCACAAAAGACAAAAGAGATTGGCTTCAGGTTAGATTCATTAAGAAAGACTTCCCAGGGCTAGTCCGGGAATTCAGAGCTTCAGCTGATGCATAGCAGGTGAGGCAGAGGACCAGCATGATTAGGGACACACAGGTTGTATCTGAAGTGCCTGGTTCCCAGCCCCCATCCCATCCCAGATGGCGCTGCCCATCAGCAGGCCATGATGGCACCACCATAACTAGGTATGAGGCAGGAAAACTCGCAGCAGACCAGAATGGGCCCAAGATTGGTGGAGGAGGAATAACATCCCCGTGCTTCTCCCCCCGAGCCTGCATTCTCTGCTGGACTCTAAGCAGAGAAAAGCCCAAAAGCCCCTCCTCACATCACCTCCCACGTCTCAGAAGACAGTTCCAGAATCTCCGCATAGGCAAGACTTGGGATGAACAAACTGATTAGGAGGTATCATTTTGGAAGTGACCTTGACTCTACTGTGTTTGCATAGCAAGTACAGGATTTTTTTAGATTGAATGGTTACTTGGGATGGTTTTGATGGGAGATTTGAGGGCTGACTCTTCCCCACCACCATCAAAAACCATCTCTTTGTGCTCCCAGTGGGCACAGAGGCAGGAAGGAGCAGAGCATGTGTGTGGACAGGTGCATCCATGTAGCAGGAACTGAGAGTGGCATGGGTAGGTGGCCATCTAGGAACATGGGCTTTGGTGATACGAATATGACAATGTGGCATGGAGGAGTGGAAAGAAACCTGGACAAAGAGTCTGGAGTGGGAGCTTTTCATCCTGCCTTTGTATCTTGGGCAAGCCTCTTAACTATTCCGAGCCCCATCCTTTTCTCATCTGAGGCATCTACAGAGTGCCCACCTTGGTATCTGGCACATCAGCTATTTGGTGAATATTGGTCCTGTCTGCCCTGCTCCCTCCCTCCACCTAAGCCTGCCCCTGTCACAGGGTTCTTGTAAGGGACAATGAGCTCATGTAAGTGCATGCGTGTTAAAAGGTAAAAAACATTATGTAAGTGTGGGCGATTTTTATTTCTCATTTGTAGCATTTCCTTTTAAATTGTTTCACTAATTGTTGTAATAACAGCACTGGCTAACCTTTATCAGGCCCATTTTAGGCACATACTGTATGATTATTACGTGAATGTGCAATGCAGCTCATTGCTGTGTTACATTCACACTTCATTTCAGCCAACACAACTCCATGAGGTAGACATAGCAATCCCCCGTTATAGATGAAAAAACTGAAGGTTCAGGTTTTTTGTAAAATAAAATATAAAGAAGAAAAAATCAAGTTATATGCAGTCATGTCATCCAAATTAACCATTGTTAATGTTTTGGTCCATTTTCTTCTAGTCTTCTTTTTCCTCTGCATATGCTTATATACATATGCATTTTTAAAAATTAGAATTATATTCTATAAACCACTTACATCTTGCATTTTTATTGTAACATTACATGATGATGTTTTTCTTCTAAAAATTAATTCCACCATGTTTTATTCTGCAAAGACTTTGAGGTAGCAAAGTATACAGTAAAATAATCATAAAATATAAATAAAACTTCAGAACGAGGGAAAAGAAGAACAGAAATATGGAATGCAAGCAGAGCTATGAAGTTGCTAGAGAGGAACTTTGTCCTAGTTTGGGTTCCCTCAGAAGCAGACCTTGAGCCAAGAATTTGAGTGCCAGCAGTTTATTGGGAGGAGCAAGGGATACAGGTAGGTGCAAGAGAAAGTGAATCAAGGAAGGAAAGTAAGTTAATCCAGGGTATGCTGGTAAGGCCGGCGCCATAGTGGGCAACTGGTACCTAATCCCAAGTGGAAACTTGTAAGCAATGCAAAGTTCTTGACCCAGATATCCCACACAAGAAAGCTGGGATATTTACACACCTACACCTGTCAGGAATTGGTTAAAAAGCTGTCTGGGGAGGATGAGGAAGGAGCACAGGGATGTAAGTCCCAGGTACTTCCGGCCTTATTTTCTTCTGTGGACAGTGCAAGGGTAGCCTTCAGGCAAAGACAGGCTCTGCTGTTGGAAATCAGGCCAGTATGCCAGGAAATGATAACAAGATCCCAAGGAATGGTGGGGAATCCCATGGAAGGGAGAGAACCAGCAGTGACTGTTCAAGCTTCGGATGTGGTTTCAGGCTTCATGGCAGACAGTCATGACCCATGTTAGAATTCTTAGTATCAGAAAGGAGGAAACATAAACCTTTCCCAGTACCTAATTCTCCTTTTTTTTTTGACACAGAGTCTTGCTGTCACCCAGGCTGGAGTGTAGTGGCACAAACTTGGTTCATTGCAACCCCTGCCCTCTCGGTTCAAGTGATTCTTCTGCCTCAGCCTCCCAAGTCGCTGGGATTACAGGTGTGCACCACCATACCAGGCTAACCTCTTTTTTTTTTAATAGAGATGGGCTTCGACGTGTTGGCCAGGCTGGCCTCAAACTCTTGACCTCAAGTGATCCTCCTGCCTCAGCCTCCCAAATGCTGGGATTACAGGTGTGAGCCACTTTTTTTTTAAGGGAGTCTCACTCTGTTGCCCAGGCTGGAGTGCAGTGGCATGAGCTTGGCTCACTGCAACTTCCATGCCTCCCGGGTTCAAAGTATTCTCCTGCCTTGGCCTCCCAAGTAGCTGGGATTACAGGCACAAGCCATCATGCCCAGCTAATTTTTGTATTTTTAGTAGAGATAGGGCTTCACCATGTTGGCCAGGCTGGTCTTGAAATCCTGGCCTCAAGTGATCCGCCCACCTCAGCCTCCCAAAGTGCTGAGATTACAGGCGTGAGCCACCACACCTGGCCCCAGTACCTAATTCTCAAAAGTGTTTTCTCCTCGGGATTATATATAGGAGACATTGTATAGGATAACAGATGATATTCACAAATAATATTTTCCTGGAAAATGCAATTGAGGATTTCATGTCACTGTTACCTAATTGAGACCTTTGACTTTAAAGTCAAAGCTTAGAGTGGAAGACAGTTTGCCAGTTTCCCTAAAGGTTAAACCTAGAACTACTTTATGACCCAGCAATTCAATTTCTAGGTATATTTCCCCCCAAAAAAAATCAACAGTAGGGATTCAAACAGATGTTTGTGTACCAGTGTTCATAGCAACATTATTCACAATATCCAAACAACCCAAGGGTCCATCGACAGATGAATGAATAAACCAAATGTGGGCTACATACAATGGAATATGATTCAGCCAAAAAAAAAAGGAATGAAATTGGCCAGGCACAGTGGCTTATGCCTGTAATCCCAACACTTTGGGAGACCAAGGCAGATGGATCACAAGGTCAGGAGTTCGAGACCAGCCTGGCCAATATGGTGAAACCTTGTCTCTACTCAAAGTATAAAAGTTAGCCAGGTGTGGTGGTTCGCGCCTATAGTCCCAGCTACTCTGGAGGCTGAGGCAGGAGAATCGCTGGAACCCGGAAGGCGGAGGGTGCAGTGAACCGAGATCGCTCCACTGCACTCCAGCCTGGGTGACAAAGCAAGACTCCATCTCAAAAAAAAAAAAAAAAAAGGTATGAAATGTTGATATATGCTATAACATAGGTGGACCTTGAAAATAATTATACTTAGTAAAATAAGCCAGACACAGAAGGACAAATATCATATGATTCCACTTATATGAGGTATCTAGAATAGGCACATTCATAGAGATAAATTAAAATAGAGGTTACTGGTGCTGAGGGAAGGCCAGAAGCGGGAGTTATTGTTTAATGGGTGCTTTCAGTTTGGGATGCTGAAAACATTTTGGGTATAGATAGTG